CTTGTAGGCTAACCTGGTATTTACATGAGCATTAACGGTGATATACGTACCTTTGTGGTCACTTATACTTTTACATAAATCTACAACACCACTGTCTAAAACATCAACATCTTCAGATATAATGATGGGATCAAGCAGTGTGCTCGTTGTTTTTGTTACTCTCGTTGGGTCTTTAATAACATTTTTCAGATTTTTTTCTAGCTATTAAATCATGCAGATACGTGTTATTTTTGGACAAAAGGTTTGCATTTAGATCGCCAACAACGGTAATTTTACTCGAGATATCTAATGCAGTCTCAATGCTACTATCAAGCCGACTCCAGAATTCTAAACCTTGGTATTGTGGTCTGTAGGTGACACATAACACAAGCGGCTTTGTGGGATAAATACTTTAACCCATATAGATTCATCACAGTGATTTTCAAGATGACATAATCTCGTAAAACAGAGAGCGTGATTAATATACATGATAACTCCACCACCGAAACAATTTCTGTCTTTCCGTATGGGTTCATGAAAATTCACCCATTTGAGCGTATCAGTATCAACATCGGAATCTAAATGGGTTTCAGTTAGGCAAATAATGTCATATTCAGATAAATATTCAGACAGGTATTTTAGTTTGTGGCGTAAACTTCTCACATTGAGATGGAAGATTGAGAGTGATTTGTCATAGTCTGCACGTGAAAATGGCCCTGGATTTAACTCTACGTCTCCCGCAAGCTGAATTAACAATAGCAGATGTAATACTACATTGATATTGACAATTTGCGACTGCAGCACACAAAGAGTAACTAACACACAGCTTGATTTACATGAAATTATTAAGATAGTATACATGCAGGAGAGTTCAGTGAGAAAATGTTCTCTGAACGATTTGCCACTCATGCTGAAAAAATAATGTTTTACATTCATACGCAGTTGTTTGCAAAGCCGGACACAATTGAACACACCGATCGCCACACGATGTTGCATAACATTATTACCCATTGTTTAAACAGACTGATACATAGAATATGGTTACAGTGTGACAGGCGGATCGGATGTCAACAATAGTGGATACATACATGTTTAATTGTAACACATGACTGAACGGCAATGCAGATCTGAGGTTGTGCTTGGATACAATAATGGAATATGGATACTGAGGAGAAATAAAAGATTTGGTACAAATAATGAGAAAGTTGGAAACAAGAAAGGTAAGGCTATATACAGTGATATATACACACAGAAAACATGAAAACAGGATGTGTAGCGGCTAAAATGTGGATTTCAAATTTACTTACATTTTACATATTTACAATCCATGAATATCCTTGATTAGCACACATCACATGAACACAACTAGAACACAGATTGTGTGTTACGTATTATATATCGGAAAAGAGCGGTTTGTGTGTTATGTATTATATATCGGAAAAGAGTGGATTGTGTGTTACGTATTATATATCGGAAAAGAGCGGATTGTGTGTTATGTATTATATATCGGAGAAGAGTGGATTGTGTGTTATGTATTATATATCGGAAAAGAGTGGATAGTGTGTTACGTATTATATATCGGAAAAGAGTGGATAGTGTTTTAAGTATTATATATCGGAAAAGTGGATAGTGTGTTATGTATTATATATCGGAAAAGAGTGTACTGTGTGTTATGTATTATATATCGGAAAAGAGAAGATTGTGTGTTATGTATTATATATCGGAAAAGAGTTGATAGTGTGTTATGTATTATATATCGGAAAAGAGAAGATTGTGTGTTATGTATTATATATCGGAAAAGAGTTGATAGTGTGTTATGTATTATATATCGGAAAAGAGTTGATAGTGTGTTATGTTTTATATATCGGAAAAGAGTGGATTGTGTGTTATGTATTATATAATGGAAAAGAGTGGATTGTGTGTTATGTATTATATATCGGAAAAGAGAAGATTGTGTGTTATGTATTATATATCGGAAAAGAGTTGATAGTGTGTTATGTATTATATATCGGAAAAGAGTTGATAGTGTGTTATGTTTTATATATCGGAAAAGAGTGGATTGTGTGTTATGTATTATATAACGGAAAAGAGTGGATTGTGTGTTATGTATTATATATCGGAAAAGAGTTGATAGTGTGTTATGTATTATATATCGGAAAAGAGTTGATAGTGTGTTATGTATTATATATCGGAAAAGAGTTGATAGTGTGTTATGTTTTATATATCGGAAAAGAGTGGATTGTGTGTTATGTATTATATAATGGAAAAGAGTGGATTGTGTGTTATGTATTATATATCGGAAAAGAGAAGATTGTGTGTTATGTATTATATATCGGAAAAGAGTTGATAGTGTGTTACGTATTATATATCGGAAAAGAGTTGATAGTGTGTTATGTTTTATATATCGGAAAAGAGTGGATTGTGTGTTATGTATTATATAATGGAAAAGAGTGGATTGTGTGTTATGTATTATATATTGGAAAAGGGAAGATTGTGTGTTAAGCATTATATAATGGAAAAGAGTGGATTGTGTGTTATGTATTATATATCAGAAAAGAGTGGATTGTGTGTTATGTATTATATATCGGAAAAGAGAAGATTGTGTGTTATGTATTATATATCGGAAAAGAGTGGATTGTGTGTTATGTATTATATAATGGAAAAGAGTGGATTGTGTGTTATGTATTATATATCGGAAAAGGGAAGATTGTGTGTTAAGCATTATATAATTGAAAAGAGTGGATTGTGTGTTATGTATTATATATCAGAAAAGAGAGGATTGTGCGTTAAGGATTATATAATGGAAAAGAGTGGATTGTGTGTTATGTATTATATATCGGAAACGAGTGGATTGTGTGTTAAGCATTATATATCTGAAAAGAGAAGATTGTGTGTTAAGCATTATATAATGGAAAAGAGTTGGTTGTGTGTTATGTATTATATATCGGAAAAGAGAAGATTGTCTGTTATGCATTATATATTGGAAAAGAGTGGATTGTGTGTTATGTGTTATATATCGGAAAAGAGAAGATTGTGTGTTATGTATTATATATCTGAAATGAGTGGATTGTGTGGCAGGTTAAACGTGTACAATAATTCTTAATAGGATTGAGTAGTATGCCAAATAGAGAATCTAGGCTGGATTAGGTAGAGTAATTTGCCTTGGTTTATGTCCGAATTAGGTCGTATGTTAAGTAATGTGTAAAGGAGAATTTCCTCTTCGAATATATAGGTTGTGTATCAAGTAAAGTGTAAAGGACGATGTCCTCTTTAACTGTATAGTTTGTGTATCAAGTAAAGTGTAAAGGATGATGTCCTCTTTTACTATATAGGTTGTGTATTCAGGAAAGTGTAAAGGACGATGTCCTCTTTAACTGTATAGTTTGTGTATCAAGTAAAGTGTAAAGGACGATGTCCTCTTTAACTATATAGGTTGTGTATCAAGTAAAGTGTAAAGGACGATGTCCTCTTTAACTATATAGGTTGTGTATCAAGTAAAGTGTAAAGGACGATGTCCTCTTTAACTATATAGGTTGTGTATCAAGTAAATTGTAAAGGACGATGTCCTCTTTAACTATATAGGTTGTGTATCAAGTTAAGTGTAAAGGACGATGTCCTCTTTAACTATATAGGTTGTGTATCAAGTAAAGTGTAAAGGACGATGACCTCTTTAACTATATAGGTTGTGTATCAAGTAAAGTGTAAAGGACGATGTCCTCTTTAACTATATAGTTTGTGTATCAAGTAAAGTGTAAAGGACGATGTCCTCTTTAACTTATATAGTTTGTGTATCAAGTAAAAGTGTAAAGGACGATGACCTCTTTAACTATATAGGTTGTGTATCAAGTAAAGTGTAAAGGACGATGTCCTCTTTAACTATATAGGTTGTGTATCAAGTAAAGTGTAAAGGACGATGTCCTCTTTAACTATATAGGTTGTGTATCAAGTAAAGTGTAAAGGACGATGACCTCTTTAACTATATAGGTTGTGTATCAAGTAAAGTGTAAAGGACGATGTCCTCTTTAACTATATAGGTTGTGTATCAAGTAAAGTGTAAAGGACGATGTCCTCTTTAACTATATAGGTTGTGTATCAAGTAAAGTGTAAAGGACGATGTCCTCTTTAACTATATAGGTTGTGTATCAAGTAAAGTGTAAAGGACGATGTCCTCTTGAACTATATAGGTTGTGTATCAAGTAAAGTGTAAAGGACGATGACCTCTTTAACTATATAGGTTGTGTATCAAGTAAAGTGTAAAGGACGATGTCCTCTTTAACTATATAGGTTGTGTATCAAGTAAAGTGTAAAGGACGATGTCCTCTTTAACTATATAGGTTGTGTATCAAGTAAAGTGTAAAGGACGATGTCCTCTTTAACTATATAGGTTGTGTATTCAGGAAAGTGTAAAGGACGATGTCCTCTTTAACTATATAGGTTGTGTATCAAGTAAAGTGAAAAGGACGATGTCCTCTTTAACTATATAGGTTGTGTATCAAGTAAAGTGTAAAGGAGAAGGAATGTGTACATTGAACGTGTATTTGGTTAAATGTGTTGCTGTAAAAGAGCAGATGGACTGTTTAACCTCAAGGGACAGAGTGCTACCGTAACAAAAGTCGGTGTCCCAGTACTCTGTCTCCGTGGCCCGTGACACTAGAACCTTTCCACAGGAAGAAAAGTCGACACTAGAACCTTCCCACAGGAAGAAAAGTCACATGACTGGCGGACATTTTTTCCCTGAACTGAGCTTTCTTTCTGCAGCCGTTACACAGCAAGTGAGTATGCAAACATAGCGGGTTGTACATCATTGTGTGAACTGGTTACCTGCAACCGTTATACAGCAAGTGAGTATGCAAACATAGCGGGTTGTACATCATTGTGTGAACTGGTTACCTGCAGCCGTTATACAGCAAGTGAGTATGCAAACATAGCGGGTTGTACATCATTGTGTGAACTTTACCTGCAGCCGTTATACAGCAAGTGAGTAGCAAACATAGTTGTACATCATTGTGTGAACTGGTTACCTGCAACCGTTATACAGCAAGTGAGTATGCAAACATAGCGGGTTGTACATCATTGTGTGAACTGGTTACCTGCAGCCGTTATACAGCAAGTGAGTATGCAAACATAGCGGGTTGTACATCATTGTGTGAACTGTTTGCCAGTCTGTAGTTTCCGGGGCAATATTCACCATTATGCATCATTATCATTTATCGTTGAGAAACCAGTTCACCTGATTATGGTACTTTTTAACAGTTTCATTTCCCTAGTAGTTTAGAAACCAGTTCCTCTTAAATTGATCTTCCACTGGTACTTATTAAGACAGTTTATCTGTATATCTCCTGATTAGTAAGAAGACTTTAGAAGATATTCTGTATGTCTGATTTATCAGAGACATACACAATATATATGTATATCACCTTAATTATATAAGACAGAGACATACACAGATATATATGTATATCACCCTAATTATATAAGACAGAGACATACACAGATATATCTGTGTTCACACATGTGCCTGTATATGTTGACATGCTATATACGGAATATAGATATATTTCTGATTCATAAATAGCATACACGGAATGCCATTCGTCTCAAACAGCAAACAGCTTGCATCACATACACTATCTTCCATTATACATTTCATATTTCCATATCCTGTGGAGTGAACTCCGGAGTTGTTCTGTCGTGCCTGTTTCTTTGTTGACTAACATGCTTACCTGTTGTACATTGTTGTAATATACAGAATGTTAAAACATATATACTAGGCACATAAAGAAACTGTGCATACAAAAATTTAAAATCTAAATTTATCAAACCTGTGTAGACACATAAGGATTTAAACTCAGAGATTAGTGACATGTATCCAACATGCATGCACGTGCCACGTTCCGTGACGTCAGTGGGTTCGTCCTTGAGACGTGCAATACGTTGTTGCACGTGCATTCCGGGAAAGAGAAACAGAGCAAATGAATGCCACACAATACTGTCACTTTGGAAAGCTCAACCCCTGCCCTTGCGATCGTTCAAAAAATTAAACGGCTATTGAAACGCATAGTATGCCAAGGCTCACGTCTGCACAACGTCATGAGGCCATTGGGATGGTCCGTGGGGGAATGTCACAACGACAAGTGGCTGCACATTTCCACTGCCACCGGAACACCATTTCTGCACTGGTGAGACGCTACCAGAACACAAATGACGTCATCGACCGGCCACGTTCTGGACGTCAACGTGTAACAACGCCAAGACAGGACATATGGATATGGGTGACCCATCTTCGCCACAGGTTTTAGACTGCAGTGATGACTGCCCAAACCATCCCAGGACTTCGCCGTGTCCACCCCAACACAGTTCGACAACGATTACGTCATCACGGGATCAGACCATGACGTCCCGCCATACGGCCTATCCTGACACAACGTCATCGACAAGCTCGCCTCATGTCCGCAGACCCTTGTTTTGGTGGAGAAATGTTGTTTTTTACAGATGAGTCCAGGTTTAACATTTCCCATAGTGATGGACGTCAACGTGCCTATAGACGCGTGGGAGAACGGTATGCACAGGCCTGTGTCTTGGAGAGGAATCGCTTTGGTGGTGGTTCCATGATGATTTGGGGTGGAATAACAGCACGCCAAAGAACTCCTTGGTGATTGTTCAGGACAACTTAACTGGTGTGGGCTACAGGGATCAGATTCTTCGACCTGTGGCAATTCCTTTTCTGCAACGTCATGGCCCTGGGTTAACATTCCAACAGGACAATGCCCGCCTTCATACGGCAAGGGTTGCTATGGATTTCTTGCAACACCACAACGTTGACTTACTGCCTTGGCCTGCAAATTCACCCGATCTCTCCCCGATAGACCATGTTTGGGACGAGATGGATCGACGTCTACGCCGTCTACCTCATCCACCAGATAATGTCCTTGACCTTGCAACAGAACTTGAGAGAATCTGGCGTGACATCCCACAAGCCTTCCTTGCACGTTTGATAGGCTCTATGCGTCGTCGATGCACTGCTGTTCTCAATGCCGATGGTGGACATACCCGTTATTGAGCTTGTGACATGGTCGTTTGACGCCTGTCCCGCTTGTGGACTCGTGACGTCATTGTGATTGAATTTTCAATTGAAATTCTCCCGACTTGTTATGGTCTCATGATCCCTCCATTAAAGTTTATATGTACCTTTGACATTGCTATCGTACTTATCAACTGGGATAATATTTTGACAAAGCACAGTTTCTTTATGTGGCTAGTATACTATGTTATTTTGCTACCTGCTGATTCAGTCAGTAAAAGATTTCCATGTGAAACCAACAAACAAGGAAATATAAATTACAATTATTGTCTGAACGTAACTTAATGTACAACTCACTACAAAGGAATTACAATTATCGTCTGAACGTGACTTAATGTACAACTCACTACAAAGGAATTACAATTATTGTCTGAACGTAACTTAATGTACAACTCACTACAAAGGAATTACAATTATTGTCTGAACGTAACTTAATGTACAACTCACTACAAAGGAATTACAAATTACAATTATTGTCTGAACCTAACTTATTGTCTGAACCAATGTACAACTCTGAACTACAAAGGAATTACAAAATTACAATTATTGTCTGAACGTGACTTAATGTACAACTCACTACAAAGGAATTACAATTATTGTCTGAACGTAACTTAATGTACAACTCACTACAAAGGAATTACAATTATTGTCTGAACGTGACTTGATGTACAACTCACTACAAAGGAAATGTACTACAAAGGAATTACAATTATTGTCTGAACGGAATGTACAACTCACTACAAAGGAATTACAATTATTGTCTGAACGTGACTTAATGTACAACTCACTACAAAGGAATTACAATTATTGTCTTGTCTGTACAACTCACTACGTACATAATTATTGTCTGACTTAATGTACAACTCACTACAAAGGAATTACAATTATCTGTCTTAATGTACAACTCACTACAAAGGAATTACAATTATTGTCTTGACTTAATGTACAACTCACTCACAAAGGAATTAATGTACAACTCAAAGGAATTACAATTATTACAAAGGAATTACAATTATTGTCTGAACGTGATTTAATGTACAACTCACTACAAAGGAATTACAATTATTGTCTGAACGTGACTTAATGTACAACTCACAACTCAATGTACAACAAAGGAATTACAATTATTGTCTGAACGTGACTTAATGTACAACTCACTACAAAGGAATTACAATTATTGTCTGAACGTGACTTAATGTACAACTCACTACAAAGGAATTACAATTATTGTCTGAACGTGACTTAATGTACAACTCACTACAAAGGAATTACAATTATTGTCTGAACGTAACTTAATGTACAACTCACTACAAAGGAATTACAATTATTGTCTGAACGTAACTTAATGTACAACTCACTACAAAGGAATTACAATTATTGTGTAAATAGCATGGGAGTTTAAATCTAACAGCAATGGCACATAAGCAGTAATATGATTTAGTGGTACTAACAGCAATGGCACATAAGCAGCTATGCTGCACCAGTGGTCAAGCTTCCCAAATAACCCGAGGCTTACAATCCAGGGTAGAAGCGATCTTCACACATTGCTGGTCTGCTTGTGTAGTGAGGGGTAAGGTGAGAGTACTGAGGGATAAGCGCGCCCCTTATATAAAGTGTAACTGAAATTTTCCTAAATGGTAACTTCCAAAACTCTCGATCTAAATATAACGCACCACGGCTGCCTGCTGAATGTCGGTAGGAACACTGTTTCTGGTTGAATAAACATGCCACATGACAATGTGAACAATGTCTTTGCCTATTCATGTGTTTAGGACTGATGACACGTCCGGGACAGGATACTCTCATCTATTGTATCATCTTACACAGTCATGACTTCCGCGTATATGTGTCATACTACTGGGGACATTTCATAACTGGTTTACTATATTTCATTGACATTGACTGTAGACGGAAACTAAGAGTTCATACTTACACCCTGTTTGTTCATTTGTTTCAGATCAACAACAATGGTCACCGGGCTGAGATCTCTGAATCTAATCACAGCTGTCTGGGTTAGCTTTGTCATCACATCATCACTGTCATTAACTGACAGTTTTCAAGCACCCTATTTCCACTTGAACACAGTTTCGATCAGCTCGCGTCATTCTTGTTCTATGACCCGTGATACCCTGCTCAACGGAACATCAGTTGACTGCCAGAATCGGCAGCTGACCGACATCCCCAAAGCCCTGCCAGCAGACACTGTTGTACTGCAGCTCCAGCACAACCACCTGCTCCATCTGAGGAACTACTCCTTTACTCACCTCCCAGAACTTGTGCAGCTTTACCTCTCCTTCTGTAATCTGTCCAGTCTAGAACCAAGAGCATTTCAAGGATTGGGCCATCTGCAGACATTGAGACTGGACCATAACAATCTTCTCCTGGACAACGAGACCTATACCTCTGACATCTTTCTGCCACTGATACGCTTACGGATTTTAGATCTGAGTGTGAATGATCCAAGGAGGACGGGGAATATACCAGATGAGATTTTTGCTCACCTACAGTCTTTGAAAAAACTCACAATTGATACATTCCAGGACGAATCTTTTGGGACCGGATTTTTACAATTGAAAAAGCTTACAGTTTTGTCTCTGAACAGTGGGTTTGCCACAGAACAGCCTTACTGTGCTATTGCACGATTGCATAACAACACTTTTTCGGTTTTTGAAAATACAAAGCTGTCACATCTTTACCTGCGACAATGTAACTTGTATCAAATTGAGGTCGGAACATTCTTGCCCTTGTCACATATTACCACTGTATCCATGGACACAGTTAAATATCTGGGCATTGATCCCGTGATTCGAGCCATGTTTGGATTTAGTGGTAGGAACATTTCACAAATAATATGTCCACATTGCTACTATCCGCATCGCACAAGTTTAGAACAACTCAAGAACCAAATGATTAGTAAAGAAACGACTTCTCTTCTTAAGAACATATGCATAGAATATTTGGATTTGTCCCACAACAGAATACTTTACGTGGATGACGCGTTTGCGTTTGCATTCGCTAAATGTTTACGGCATCTAGATCTTTCTCATAACTATATTCTGGGACAGGTATCAACGATTTTAGAATTGTCCCTTTTCAAGAAACTAGAATATGCAGATATCTCCTTCCAAATAAGTTCAAAACGAAATGAAATAGACAATGTTTTGAGAACTGGTGCAGAGGAACTAGATACTGATACAAATATTTCAAACAGTGTAATTTTGACCAAAAGCAACCTTTCCCCTAACGTTGTGTTCTATTTACCACCTAGACTTCGGATCTTAAAATTACGATCCATCGTTGCTAACATAGGGAAAATATCTCTGTCAGAAATTAGAGGTGGGCAACATTTGACAGAACTTGATTTGGCATATAACGGACTTAAGGCATTTCGGCAGCATGTGAGAGGCCTCGAGCATGTTCAGAGTGTTGACTTGTCAGGGAACACAGATGCTGAATTGACAGAACACTTTCTTACGTCATTCTACTGTGCTGCACAATTGTTCCTGAATAACATGGGTTTATCTCAAGGGACACTGTTACCTGGTGGCCCACTGTACAACGGCATTCGTAGTTTGGTTCATCTCACAAGGTTAGAGTTGTCAGGAAATAAGATTCAGTTCTTGCCAAGTGACCTTTTAAACCCACTTACAAATATATCATATGTTAACCTTGCCGACAACAGTTTTGTGAAGATTCCTTTTGACCTCTCTTTCATACCAAAAGATCTGACCTTCCTTGACATGTCCTCCAACTCTCTAACTTACATGAGTAACGGAGAAATGAACACTCTTGACACGCTTTCCTACAGACATTCGCTTACACTGAAGCTTGAAGGTAACCCCATATCATGTTCATGCCAGGCTCTCCCATTCATTAGATGGCTTTCTTCAACCGTTGTTGCTCTTGATCAGAGGAATAGCTACACATGTGTGGACGAAGAGGGTGTCATCACCTCCACAACCGAGGTCAATGTAAACCTCCACTGGAGAAGATGTAGAGGACTTTTCTGGTTTCTGGTTGCAGTCACGCTCATGTGCTTCCTGACAGTGGTCGCTGTGTCGACACTGCTGATTTTGAGGAATCTGACTTATTTCCAGCATCGCCTTCTGATTCTACTTGGGAGAGGTGCCCAAGAGGGGCGAGTAACCAGACACGACTTTCAGAAAGATGCCTACATTGCTCATTGTGAACTCGACAGTCAGCTGGCATGTCATGATATCGGAATGGTCCTCAAGCAGAGATATTTGCTGAGATTAATCCTCAGTCACGACTGTCTTCCAGGGCATCTGTTCATAAAGCATGTGGTGGACAGTGTCAATGCGAGCTGGAAAACCGTTCTTGTTGTCACAGAAAACTTCCTTGAAGATGACTGGTCCTATTTCACAATGCAGATAGCAGCAAATGCTGTCACTAACACTAATCCAAACAGAGTAATTCTCTTGTTGATCGGCAGAATCAATGAGGCTCTCCTCCCCGAGTTTCTGCTAAGCTTAGTGAGTGAAAATAACATCTTCCATCTTTCCAACATTCCAGATGAAGAATGTGAAGAATGGACACACATAAAGAACAGGATATTGAATGGAGATGAATACTACTTCACTTAACTTTCCAAATGAAAAAAAATCGCGTTTCAGTTATAAAGGGGTAAATTTTCTCACTTCAATTAACCCGTGGTCGGTTTATTTTCATGCAATAAGAAACGTGTAGGACAGACATCAGAATCAGAATCTGTTATCAATAACAAAATCAAGTGTCTGTAAAAAGGCAAAATGAGAAAAATATCAATAGATCACTGTAAAACAGTAGATCACGTCAACTCCAAAGTTTTTTTCAAACTTCTGCAATCCTTCATATCTGTCAACAGGCCGTGCCAGTGTTGTACATCATGTAACATGCTCCATTGTACCTGTTGACATTCAGCAAGGGGCAGTGGTGTGTTATATATTTAGACAGTTCTGGAATGTACTGCAACCCTAAGGCCTATCCAGTTACCGGTCATATTTTGTAACCTTGACCATTGAGGTGAATATTACCATCATAGTCTTCTTTGCTATAATCACTGATTTCGTACTATACTGTCTTTGAATTTGTTCTGCCACTGTAATGCCTTTGTAGTGATTTGTACTCATTTGTTAATTTTATAACAGAATAGTTATTTACATGCCACTGATGTGCACCTAACTACTGTATTAGTTTCCACTTGGAAATCAACACTTACTTCTTTGAGTGGCATTTAGAAGTTGGTGTGATGAATGAGGAGAGTTCTAGGTACTAACAATGTTATCAAGCAAGTGATGTACAATTCTGAAGGCAAGGTTAAATATACATAGTAAAGTTTGAACAGTAAGTAATTGATGTTTCTATGTATATATAACCTTGCCTTCAGTATTGTTTATCACTTGCTTGATAACATTGTTAGTAGCTACACCGAAACGTTGCCCATAAATTATATTAAAGAAGTTTTATATCCATAAAACTCTCCTTGTTAATCAAAACAAAACCATAGATTGGCTTTCTGCAAATAGCTTCTGCCTGGTTGTACTTAACTGTTTTAAACTGGCAGATCAGCAGTACTGTGTTCCATGGTAGTCGTGGAATGCATAATGCCTTATAAATATTTATATATTATTATATTTCTTAATTCATATGTGGATCTTAAACATTACACAAATGCAATTTCAGAATAAAAATTTGCCTAAGTAAACATGTTCAAAGTGAATGCTGTAACAGACTCATGATTTGACTTGTGTGTGATATTAAGAACACAGTGGACAGTACTGAAAACATAACAGGCTGTCATTTAGCCCAAAATATACAAAGAAGTTTGTTTGAAAAATGAATAATTGTGGAACGTCTTGGCAACAGAGACGGGTTATTATATATGTTCTACTGAGTTCAACACTATAATACACATTAAAGCTTTAGTGCTGTAACTCTCAGTATGGGATTTCTGACTGCAGCACAACAGGACACAAGTGGGGAAAGCTGACAGTTACAGAACACAGATATGTCCACATGGGGATGACAGCTGATCATCTAGCAATGGCAACCAATATGATCAGACATTACGTTGTATCTCATTTAAAAGAGATTTTATTATATAAAATATTATTTGGGTTATACTATTTTATCTGAAAATATTAAATTTCACATACTTTTTGTCAGTCTCAATGTCACCAGATGATCATGAAGATATGACAAAAAGTACACAACAGGATGCATGTATTTTCCATTCTAATAAGAAACATGATGTAATATAATGAAACTGAAACAGCTCAGAGGATCAGGAATACATACTTTTTTCAGATTACTAGTGAGTGAGTGAGTGAGTATTGTTTTACGCCACTTTTAGCAATATTCCAGCAATATCACGGCGGGGGACACCAGAAATGGGCTTCACACATTGTACCCATGTGGGGAATCGAACCTGGGTCTTCGGTGTAATGAGCGAACGCTTTAACAACTAGGCTACCCCACCGCCCCCTCAGATTACTACCAGTGATAACCATATTATTGTACACATATCAAGAAGTAACCAAGGACACTTAACAAATGCATAGTGTTTATTTCACGTGAAGTTTCATTTGAATACAATGAATGATTTGGAAAAATAAACGACTCAGTTGCCCAAAGAAACAGGAAGTACACTTACTCTCATCCCTTCTCTATTGAATTTACATCATAAATAAATTAGAAAATGGCACATCATAAATTGCATTGGAAACTTTCTCTTCTTTCACAAATAACATATGGTTCTCTGCCAGATGCTTCTGTTAGTATGCTGAGATGTTCTACACATGATCTGATATTCAGCTACCAGTATATACTGAATGTCACCTGATATAGAAGTACAAAAGTATGCTCTTATATCTTAAAACTAGACAATAAAATCGTGATGTTTTATTATCATAAAAACAAGAATGCAACAATAAAAATATTCTTAAAATATTTCATTCTAAAGTTGATTGATGTGTTCACTTAAGGTCACAGATGTGGCAAATGATATTGTTCACTGAGACCAAGGGAGGACATGGAGCTGCACGGCCATGTAAGTAACAGCAGTTGCTCTACTCAACATCTATTCAGTTCACAAACTCAAACATGAAAAAAAACATACAAACATTTATGGTACTCAAGAATATTTTCCAATAGTGAACAGAATCTTCAGAAAGTATTTACAATACAAACACACAATATATATGTACAACTTTTATATCTAGCACATAAACAGATAGCACATATATTTGTGGCTTTAGAGGCTTTGTTACCACAGAGATACAATGCCTGCAGTGACACCTCACACTGTGTGTCCCTGGTGTCGTCGTTAGTCCCTGGTGTCATCGTTGTGTAATATCAGTGTGGTTAATGGACAATCAAATATACTCCATCCATACCAAGGGGAATGAAAATAACAAAGCAATGATAAAATTATGTATCATGAAAGTGACTGAGTAACTACTATACATGCATGAATCGGACAGATTAATAGTGTGTAAAGGCGAGGAGTGCCACAACTTAATGAGACTGGAATATCTAACAGTTATCAAAATTTTCCAATAAATATTACTCTATGGCAAATATAAAGTTGATCTTTGGTATTTTTTAATGCAAGCCAAAACAAATGTATATAGGACAAGCTCTTAATTTGACACACAATCTTGGTTTTGACAATCCAAACTGAACAATGCTTGAAGATCCTGAAGGCTAGAGCTGTCTCTAGCTGCCGTGCTGAGTGCATGGGTGGACCACTTGTTCCACAGATTTGTGTTTCTGGCTTAGAGTCCATCCTGAGTGTTACGCTGTCAGCACACACCCAGGTGCATGCATCCAACTAAAGTGGCGAATCTGCATCACTCCTCTCTCACACGACAGACACTGAATGAGTGCGTAAGATGAAACACTATTGACAGCCTGTCAACCCTACTTCCTCCCTGTTTCAAACTACACACGATGTCAGTTTACAGTGCAATGATGTTTGTATGAGCAACACATGATTAGGGCAAATATAAATATCATATGGTATTTACAATTGACAAATTATATTGCTGATAATGCAAAATACATAAACTATTTAAACTGGAAGGCACATGTATATGTTAAGATTGCATAACATCCAACTGATGGAACACAGAAAGAGGTGTGCATCTCTGTCCATCATGCAACACCTGGGACAATGGGTCGTCTCATCAGACATAGCACTGAATAGGTTGGGGACAGGGCAACAGACACTGCTGCTGCTGCTGCTGCTGCTACTACTACTACTACTGCCCTGCAACAGTTACCTGGGCTGTTCCGTGTACAATATCATAAAATAAAACAATTTGTCATTGTACCAGTATTATGAATCCTTGACAATGTGAAGAATACACCCACAGCCAATGGTGATTACTTTTCAGATATAGCCGGTGTGTAGATGTACTGAATCTACCACTTCGAATGGTATGTGCAAGGCACTTGTCTGCTATCAGACAGTATTTAAATGCACTGTGTATTCGGTCAGATGTGCTGTGACCTCATGATGTCAGTGACACAACCATCACTCAATAGCTTCTGAACACTCCCATGAGACATGCGGATCACCTACTTGACCCACTGATTAAACATTGCTGCAACTCCTGAGCTATCTTACTCCAGATAGTCACAATACATGTATCATCCTTAAGAGGGCCGATTATGTACTTCAATAAAACTACTTTACAGACATGGGTAGTACTAGAGTGGTGGTGTGTAGTAACCAATGGGTAGTACTAGAGTGGTGGTGTGTAATCACAAGTCTCCTACAGCCGTCTCCTCATTGAGTGTATTTAGTTAGTCCACAGAATTAATTCTTGGAAACATGTCTACCCCAATATCGTATCCCCAACATTGTGTGTTAGAGTATGTCTCCCCCAACATTGTAAGAGCATGTCTCCATTGTACATTAGAGTATGTCTCCAACATTGTACATATTGCTAGAGTATGTCTCCCCAACATTGTACATATTGCTAGAGTATGTCCCCAACATTGTACTCCTCCCCAACATTGTACATATTGCTAGAGCATGTCTCCTCCAACATTGTACATATTGCTAGAGTATGTCTCCTCCAACATTGTACATATTGTTAGAGTATGTCTCCCCAACATTGTACATATTGTTAGAGTATGTCTCCCCAACATTGTACATATTGTTAGAGTATGTCTCCCCCAACATTGTACATATTGTTAGAGCATGTCTCCCCCAACATTGTACATATTGCTAGAGCATGTCTCCTCCAACATTGTACATATTGCTAGAGCATGTCTCCTCCAACATTGTACATATTGTTAGAGTATGTCTCCCCAACATTGTACATATTGTACAATATTGTACATATTGCTAGAGTATGTCTCCCTCAACATTGTACATATTGTTAGAGTATGTCTCCCCAACATTGTACATATATGTCTCCCAACATTGTACAGAGTATGTCTCCCCAACATTGTACATATTGCTTAGAGTATGTCTCTCCCAACATTGTACATTTAGAGTATTGTACATATTGCTAGAGTATGTCTCCTCAACATTGTGCTAGAGCATGTCATGTCTCCCAACATTGTACATACATGTCTCCCCAACATTGTACATATTGCTAGATTGTCATGTGCTGGGGCATTGTTAGGAGCATGTCCCAACATTGTCTATTGCTAGAGCTCCCCAACATTGTACATATTGTTAGAGCATATTGTTAGATGTCTCCTCCAACATTGTACATATTGCTAGAGTATGTCTACACAGCAACACTAATATCAGCACTTCTTTCCCTGTGCAAAACACACCATTTAACTTTGTCCAAAACTTGTTCCATATTTGGTCACTTTGAGGCACTGCCCAGTCCATCAAGTGCCACTCAGCAACACATGTATTCCATGTTCATTCTCCATGGCCACACTTTTCCATTCTCCATGTGTACCGCCTGCATGGAAGGCCAGTAGCCTGTCCTCTGTCTCCAGGCTCAATAACATACTTCTGCCAGCCAGGTGACATCTTTCCTAACTGATCCTAGGCAGTGCTACATGACTTCTGTTGGTCCCCAAGTTTCACGGGTGGTATCTTAGTGTCATTGTTGTTGTTCAGAACGCTGTTAGCTCCCTGGTGGGAAGGTCCTGGAGGAATGCAGTCGATGCCATGATCCTTGGCAAACTGTGCCTCTAGTTTATCCATTCGAACTGAACCTCTGGAAAGACAGGACATAGTTACTTTCAGTTATGTGTGATACCATCTGGACACAGATGTGAACAAGTAATTGACTATTTTCATACACCTAGGATTACTTGACTGACATTACAATGATAGCATTACTGCATATCACAACAGCATGAAACATTATTACTTTCGACACACCATAGTTAGGTGTGAGGAGATGGAATACAATATCCCTGAAGAAAAACATGGATGTACATGATATACCGGTCAAAAACTGTCAAGAACCTATTACTTACAGAAAACATGCAACAAACACTTTAGATGACAAAAGCAAAGCCAAACCCCTTGTATTAGAGACCAAAGATTATGTCAAGCAATAAATACTTCTCAAAAGAAATTAAAGAACACATGAATTTGTTTATCCATACATACAGTTAATCTGTCATGCCATGATTGTTTTTCATGAACTTCTTTAGTGTAGTATATACATATATAAAACCAGTGAGTGAGTGAGTTTAGTTTTACAACGCACTCAGCAATATTCCAGCTATTCCGGCAATCTGTAAATAATCCAGTGAAGTCTGGACCAGACAATCCAGTGATCAACAGCATGAGCATCGATCCGCAATTGGGAACCGATGACATGTTTCAACCAAGTCAGTGAGCCTGACCACCCGATCCCGTTAGTCGCCTCTTACAAGCATGGGTTACTGAAGATCAATATTCTAACCCAGACCTTCACGGGTCATATATAAAACCAGCACCATGTAAGAAGGTATATGTGTTGAAAGAAAGCTGTAGGGCAACATACATCATTAGTCTGGTAAGTCATTCTTACCAATATATACAACTAGTTGATGAGAAGTCAAGCAACATAATTGATCAGTTGGGTTTTTAGGTAATGGATAGGTAATAAAATATATGAATGATTATATCAAAAACAAGTTGATTGTAACTAATGACTTTTGAGGAACGTAATACTTCATGAGACTGTATACAGGGGTATGTTCCTTCATCGTCCCTGCCTTGTGGTTGTGATGTGTGTCAAGGTAGGTCAGGAAATGAAGCCCTAACTTCCAGTCCAGCGATTTTAACTCCATGAAGGGACTTAGTACAAACCCTGCAGCTACCGGACTTTGAAGCAGTACACAGAGTAACAATAGAGTAACAATGGAGGTAAAATACTTTAGGAATGACAACTTTAAGCAAGAGTGACAGCAGTATAAGAATCTGAAGCATTGCGTCCTGATATATATAGTAAGAAGGTGTCATCCATAAGGTATCCTGCTTTTATCATTACTCACCAACTTGCCAGTCAAACAGACCAGTGTAACACTGTGTTTACTGTCAATAAGCTAACCAACACGTTGCACCAGAACTACTACCACAGTCATCCCATTGCAGATTAAGGTTTCCACCACTTTTACAAAGTAAGGACACCACTACATAGTGGCTGTATGTATTCATGGCGGATGATGACAGAATGGAGTATATCAGGACCTGAGAAGTGAAGATGACGATGAACAGAGATTGTGTTCTCTTCAGTCTACAGCTACAGGGAATCAGACCAGAAATACTACAGAGAGGCACAGCATAAAAGGCAGTAGACATATAGAAAGTATCTTCTCATTCCATACTGATGTTAATGATATGAATTTACAGCAGTCTAATGTGTTCAAAGTTAAGATAGCTCCAGGGTCCTCGAGGATTGGTCGATTGCATTATTAATAACATCATTAGACCGTCACACACTTTCACATTCATCATCACTGTGAAGGCAAGGACCCCTTAACCACTATGCATAATTTTCAAAACAATTCCACGGTCAGTTTCCCATCAGGCTGCCGTCGCCACCACCACCACCATGAAGGGAGATAACTGTGTCCTATAAATCCTCACTCACCCTGGCTGTGGGTGGGCCGACTGCTTGACCCTGAATGAAGGGAGGCTGGGAAGCAGCCCACTGCATGCAAACACCAAACATGTGAGTCAACAACAAACAGGCACGATAGAGGAGATGCATGGGGGACATGGAATCAGGTGTGTGAGTCAACAACAAACAGGCACGATAGAGGAGATGCATGGGGGACATGGAATCAGGTGTGTGAGTCAACAACAAACAGGCACGGTACAGGAGATGCATGGGGGACATGGAATCAGGTATGTGAGTGAGTGCTGTTTAATGCCAAAGTCGGCAATATATTAGTTCGTGACAACCTGTAAATGAGTGATTCTGGAGCAGACCTACCTGGAGAATGTGTCTGATGCAGTCAGTCAAAGATCTACCTGGAGAATGTGTATGATGCAGTCAGTCACAGATCTACCTGGAGAATGTCTAGGATGCAGTCAGTCACAGATCTACCTGGAGAATGTGTAGGATGCAGTCAGTCACATATCTACCAGGTGAATGTGTATGATGCAGTCAGTCACAGATCTACCTGGAGAATGTGTATGATGCAGTCAGTCACAGATCTACCTGGAGAATGTGTAGGATGCAGTCAGTCACAGATCTACCTGGAGAATGTGTAGGATGCAGTCAGTCACAGATCTACCTGGAGAATGTGTAGGATGCAGTCAGTCACAGATCTACCTGGACAATCTGTATGATGAAGTCAGTCACAGATCTACCTGGAGAATGTGTATGATGAAGTCAGTCACAGATCTACCTGGACAATCTGTAGGATGAAGTCAGTCACAGATCTACCTGGAGAATGTGTAGGATGAAGTCAGTCACAGATCTACCTGGACAATCTGTAGGATGAAGTCAGTCACAGATCTACCTGGACAATCTGTAGGATGCAGTCAGTCACAGATCTACCTGGACAATCTGTAGGATGAAGTCAGTCACAGATCTACCTGGACAATCTGTAGGATGAAGTCAGTCACAGATCTACCTGGAGAATGTGTATGATGAAGTCAGTCACAGATCTACCTGGAGAATGTGTAGGATGAAGTCAGTCACAGATCTACCTGGACAATCTGTATGATGAAGTCAGTCACAGATCTACCTGGACAATCTGTAGGATGCAGTCAGTCACAGATCTACCTGGACAATCTGTAGGATGAAGTCAGTCACAGATCTACCTGGACAATCTGTAGGATGAAGTCAGTCACAGATCTACCTGGAGAATGTGTAGGATGAAGTCAGTCACAGATGAAGATAGAAGATACAGGCACTCATGCAGGCTGTATCAAAAATCGCCCTAAAGACCGAGCTGAGGGCTCCAGATTCAATTACATATTATTTACCTATTATGTAATCATCATTGGGTATTGATTGTTTATTCAAAGAAATCTATACTCCCTTGGGTGCAGTCTGTTTGGTATTTCTACACCAATGAGTTGACATTATGTTCATGTGGTGATGCCTCAAGACCTCTACACAGAGGCATGTAGTGCCTTCTCATGAATATGTTTCATTGGATATAATGTATGCATAGTTCTGGGTCTTCATGAGGATCTGTATAGTAATGCACTCCTGACTGTACCACATGTCTGGATGAAGGCAGTGAGAGAGTTGTGGGTATACCAACAGGTAGGTAGAGATTTTAACAACAAGGTGTGCACATGAAGACAGAGCATGGCAGCAAAACAACAGGTGGGAGCAATGACAGAAAAATTGGTTCCAAATTATAGAAGATGAAATCTGAGATAGAATTGATTTGAAGTGCATGGATTATCATGATGATCTTACATGAAAAGTTCAAACTTGAACATGTTGAGTTAGTATCAGTCTTATGATTAGAACCTAAAACACAATTTTGACTTTACTGTTGCATGAATACATCAAATCCTTCAAACTCCAGATATGAATAGACAATACCTATCCCCAGTTGTCTCCCTTTCCCCATGAAAGCTCCGTGCACTTCAACAACATAAACAAGAACTACACAGCTAGCAACTCGGATACGTACACTACATCAGTGATACCCTGTCCTACCTATAGATAAGATAAAACAAAATGTGGACAAAATTCACCCATTAGTATGAAACATAAGACTACATGATGAACAGGTTATCAAGTCTTCACATAAGATTTACAGAAATTGTGAAATTTATAAGTAAAACATGTCAACCTAAGACAGCACTTTTCAGCCATATGGTGGTTGTGAGGCTGTCTGTCATGGGTGTGCCTCTCAGTGACTAGACAGGTGCAAGTCACATGATAAGGTAAAATGACACACGAACAGTGTGGGAAGAACAGACGTTGTGGACAAACCGACACCCATTTTGTGTCTGATACAATCAACAAAATGATATAAAGACATAAGAAGAATATATAACCAATGAGTAGACATTTTGTTATATTTGATTAGAATAACAGACATCACATATGATGGAACTAACTTTCCCAAGCACGTTCAACATGCAAAGACAACTAATCATCCTCGATAGCATTACTTTGTTAATATACCACACAATATTAATCCCACACCTCATGAAACTCTTATCCCAATTAGCTTACATGCAACTTATACACTAAGGATTGCACAAGATGCACACCCTACATGCATCTAATTGATACAGCATCACAGACTGACTGGTATTTAATTATTCAATGCTTAAACAGACAGAAGAGGTACCTACTTCTTCTTCCCAAAGAAGTGCTTCAGTGATGACTTGAATGTTTTCTTGGAACTCACATCCTCGGAAGATTTGGAAAGGTTCTCCATAGAATTATATCGTTTTGTTTTTTCCTTCTTTTTCTTGTTATCTTTCTTGGCCTGAAGACCATCAGTTTCATCGGGGGACGTGTGCAGGTCTGGAGCAAAGTCAGCAGGGCGGGGCTGGGGGAAGGGAGACGACAACCTGTTTGTGTTCCTTGTCCTGGAGTTAAATCTGTCTGACTGTGGCCTCTCAACACCATGTGGCTTGTGTAGGGGTTTGTGATTTGACAGCATTCTCTCATCAAACGAAAGCACAGAGTTCTCGAAGGGGTTTATGTCAAGCCTCCTTGTGTCAGAAGAGAAGCCCAGGTGGGAAGTGTTACCATTAGTGTCTGACACTGAGTTGGGAGTTGGGGTGAGGCTGGTGTCAGATGCCAGTGGAACCTTCCTCAACTCCGTGTCTGAGGAATGTGAGGGAGACTGTGATTGACTCATTGTAACAATGTCCGAGCTCTCCTCCATCTTATGTTCACTGTTCCGAGACTCGGACCTCACAGATTCATCAAAGGAGGAGTTTGGCTGGTCGGAGGAATCGGAGCACATGATGGGCTGCTGGATGCGAGCTTCATCTGTGTCGCTTCGAGTGTCTTGCACCGACTCCAGGTTGAGCTGGAGGTCTGATGTATGCATGCTGCGATCACTCTTGTTGTGGCTGGAGGCCGACTCTAACCCAGGCCCCTGGTCCTCAGATCCTGGAGAAGTGATCTGCGTGTCGAAGCCTTGCGACATGGTCCTCTGTGTGATCCCATCCTGTTGTGTGGCATTGGCCTGGTCACTCAGACTATCAGCTAATGACACAGCTAGATCAAGGTCTTCCGAGTAGCGTGGCTCTGACTGACTACTGTCGATGTAATGCCCGGTTAGGGTCAGTGTATTTCAAGCTGTGAGCACTAGTAATACCATGATCCTCATCACCATATACACCATAACTACTACCCGGAATTCCATGGCAGCTGTCTGGGTAACTTTCCCTTCTGTGCCCATTCACCAAGATTCGAGGGGAGTCATGTGGGAAGGGGGAGAAAGACCTCTGGGCTGGGAAGGAGTTATTGAGATGTGTGGAATGAATCATCGATGACGAATGAGAAGTGTTAATAGTACCAGGCATGGATCTGTTCATCGCACTGTCCTGATGTCGCCGACTGATGATCTGATGATGACTGGGTCGACTTCGGTTGCTAGGAACACCTGGTAAGCCCATGGCTGACTGGGGTCGATTGTGAAGGTGTTCATGGCTATGACGAAGTTGGGATGATTCATGGCGCGAAATGAAGTCAATGGCTGATGCGGGACGATGTCTGTGATGTGGGAGGCTGTAGGTGGTGGCATAGTCAGGGGGCAGGTTAGTCTGACTTCCAGTCTGATAATAGCCCCCCTGACGATCCCCCTTTTTCTTGAGCTTGTATCGCTTGTGGTGACTCATCTTGTCTGATACTGGCGGTCGCGTTGCAACTGACCCATCCTCTTGATATCCCTTTGGCAGTTGACCAGTTGAATGGCGTCCGAAGGTTAGGTCTGGCTGACTCTGTGCTGACAGCCGCTGTTGCGGTCCACGACCTTCACGATAATTGCTGGTCATCTCCACCCAGTCAGGGGTATAACTTCTGAAAGAACAACCAGTTGTGTTGTAATAAGAATAAAACTACCCAGTGCTGACCACCTCCCTCTTCCCCGTCAAGAGCTGACCGTACCTGTTGTAGCCCTGCTGTGAGTGATGCACTACTCACTCCCCCCTCCCCCCAACCTCCAAGAAACAACCTATTGCTGACCACCTCCCTCTTCCCCGTCAAGAGCTGACCGTACCTGTTGTAGCCCTGCTGTGAGTGATGCACTACTCACTCCCCCCTCCCCCCAACCTCCAAGAAACAACCTATTGCTGACCACCTCCCTCTTCCCCGTCAAGAGCTGACCGTACCTGTTGTAGCCCTGCTGTGAGTGATGCACTACTCACTCCTCCCCAAGAAACAACCTATTGCTGACCACCTCCCTCTTCCCCGCCAAGAGCTGACCCGTACCTGTTGTAGCCCTGCCGTGAGTGATGCACTACTCACTCCCCAAGAAACAACCAATTGCTGACCACCACCCTCTTCCCGTCAAGAGCTGGCCGTACCTGTTGTAGCCCTGCTGTGAGTGCTGCTCCTCCCCATTTGAGTGGATGCCACTGTCCCTGGCGCTGGCCGGCTGACTGGGACTTGACCTCAGCGATGGAGCATGCTGCCACTGGGACTTGATTCCTCACAGCTGACATGGAGCAAACACAATACAACATTACAAGTCACACCATGGCATAGTCACAACCACAATACGACATTCCTGAAGTCACAACCACAATACGACATTCCTGAAGTCACAACCACAATACAACATTCCTGAAGTCACAACCACAATATGACATTCCTGAAGTCACAACCACAAGACATTCCTGAAGTCACAACCCACAATACGACATTCCTGAAGTCCTGCAAATCTTGTCACAACCAAAACCAGCCCTATAGTCAGAAACAATTTTCTTGTTCAAAGACAAAACTGCAACCTCTATTACATCACATAACAAGACCCCATTAATAATAATAATATAGTGTTCTTCAAATCAAACTGCAAGGAAACTAAAGTTTTTTTTTCTGGATGTCAATCTCAGCGGCACATCATTCAACTCCCTGGGGAGCATACAAAGCCACTGCAACCTCATTCCCATCCTTTACCCATTTTACAGCTGGGTGGACTGGGACACATAGTCACAGTACTTTGTCCATAAGCTTACCCCATTACTGGGTGTGCTGGTATTTACCATCTGGCATACAGGGTTGTGTACTGTACACTAGGGTTGTGACAACACTGAAAGAGTCTGAAGTTGACTTGGTTTTACAAATGTCACCATTAGTGCTGGTTACCTGCATATACACTTGTTCAAATGATATTGGAAATGACTTCAATGATCAATAAGAGGAGAATATCAAAGTAAATCTACTGGTGAAACCTCATACAGCATCACACAACAACTAGCTAGCCTATGTGTAATTACCAAGTGGACTCAAGAGTCTTGCCTGATTGTGTCCTTGTCATGACTGACGGTGTGGGTGATCTCATCACTGAACTGGTCAACAAAGTTGCGGAGCCTGGTCAGAGTTGACTGCAGGGTGTACTGGTCCGGGTGTGACACCACAGTGTTCTTCAAGAGTTGCTGTAGACATGACAGAGCTATATGTAGACAAGCAGAGCTACAGAGCTCCTCACAGGAACAGTGCATTACCTAGCAGAGCATCACAGTGGCATCTTCTCACTGTGGAACAACATCTCAGCTGTACGAACCAGTCACAAGTTAGCTCAATGGTAATGAAGTTTTCATGTTGGACCTAATAGGAAATAGTTGGTACTGACTATCTTGTCAGCCTTGACTATCCAGAATATTACATCTCTGTTCTAATATGATAATACCTGTGATAAATTCCTATGAATCAGATGTAAACATACTCTGTGTACTGTATGCCTTGTGTTTGTGTACTGTCATCTGTCAGATGTAAACATACTGTGTGTCTGTATGCCTTGTGTTTGTGTAGCACTGTGGTAATGTGTATTGTAGTCAGATGTATTGAATCTGTACATGTACTGTACTGTCATCAGCACAGTGTATTGTAGTGTATTGAATCTGTACATGTACTGTAGTACACTGTAAGTGCTGTGTGTACTGCATGTGTACTGTATGTACTATGCATGTAGCCTAGTGTATTGCATGTGTACTGAGTGTAGTAAAAGGGATAGATGCTGTCACTATTTGTTTTACCCCCAAACAGATGACCACAATGAGCTGTTGACAAGTTAAATAACTTTGTGCCTTCTGTGAGAGTATTGTGTGTGTACTGAGTGTGTAATGTATTGTGTGTACCTGCAGGAGCAGAGAGTACTGGGGTATCCTCCGTATGGGAGCTGTCAGCAGAGAGACGATATCTCCAGAGTTGGGACGGTCTTCTCTCTGGAAGAAAACATCATATATTAACTCTAGCCTCTGAACATTCACCTGTCAACCATAGACATATCAACAAATGTGAACAAGTCAGTTTTTATCCTCCTATAAAGTAATAGCTTCATGACAACACTACCAAGCACCTGTCCCTACCTTAATAAAGTCCCTGAATTTTCTGGACTGTGTGACCTGTCTGCGAAGACAGTTGATGGCAGCAGGGAAGTCAGACAGGTACTCCTTGTATAGCGACATCAGGTTGCCCTGAAAAAAAGTAGTCAAAGATTAGCTATCACAGCTTCATTCAAGTCAAACCTTACTATAGTACTGTCGGAAATAGAAAAAAAACTGTATTTTCTCATTTATCTCTACAATTTATGTAGTTGATATGTGAAAGTGTGAAATATCTGTTAAACTAAGTTCGGCCTAACTACAGTCTCGGTGGTAGAGAGATAGGAAACGGAGAAAAAGGACTTTACTGAGGGGAAATTAGTGCAGAAATGAGCAATGCGGGTTTTTTCTATGTCCAAAAAGACTTATTTGGAACAGACCATGGCTTTATGCAAATTAGTGTGCAACGATATTGTATTACAAAGGACACTTTTTAAATGCCCAATTTGAAATTAGACATAGATTCATTAGAAACGATAGCTGACGTAAAAAATAATAACTTTTATGCCGAAACTATTAAGGATGTAGCTACCATGCAGTCTCACTGTCACTATAAAAGAAACAGATAGGAGGGTTCATCTCAAAAGCAAAACCTGGAGGGTCGGGCTTGGGGGCTAGGGAGAGATATCAGCTAAGATAAGATAATCCTTTAGGGCAATTATACTAGGGAAGTACGACGCACGTCATAACAATTTACAAATAATATCCAGTCCTGTCGATCTTCGCGAATTGGGTGGTCATGCCACCTATATACCACGAGACATTTTTATGGTTTTCGGTATCATACTGTTTTACATATCTCAACATAAACTATATGAAACTATATGACAGAAAGACACGCAAGATGTTAATCAATAAGTGAGACATAGTCAGCATACATGAAAAAGCACAAAATATCTTTGAGATGACCCCTTGTGCCCGTAGCAGCACATGCATTTCATGCCAGGTGAGTCGACGGTCCGTCGTCATACCTGGCTGAGCGACCTAATTGCCATCTATAGTCTGATCTATTGTTTTCAGCAGCTATTCGTATTTTTTCTAAGTTTTGCCTGATTTTACGAGTAAACATGCTTTTCTGGATATCCTTTTACGCATCCCACTGAACGCCATTACTGATTTCCGACAGTACTTTAGCAAGGGTACTGAGGACCTATACTACAGCAGTATTCAAACGAAACAAATTAAACTGGTGATATATACGTGAAACACAAACACTGTCAAGTGGATCTCAGTTGTTGCCACACGCTACTCACAGTCTGGGTATCGGTCATCTTGGCGAAGACGTCACCGACCATGCCGCCCCAGCTCCAGTGCTGCAGTCGGTCCTCCAGGATGTGCAGGATGTGGCAGTGCTCATCATACAGCTGCTGCAGCGACGGTGGCAACAGCAGGTTCAGTTCTCGCGTGCTGACATACAGGCCCTCCTGCAGCGGGGTCAGGTAGCCATCCAACAGTGACCACAGCTGACCACAGTATTCACGTTCAGAGTCGATGATGTCCTGCACTGACTGCTGTCTCTCTGCTGCAGGGGAATGATTGTACTACGTCAGCTCTCGCCATGGTCATGAACAAGTCTCATAACACGTGGAAACAGATCAAGGCCTCCAAGGCCTCCAAACATTAAATATTCAATCTAACTGCCATTAGCTGAAGCAATGTGCCCCATTATCCAAAGTACCAAGAGACAAATGCTGTTATGTGGCATGGCTAAATGAGCAGTTCATATCATCCGAGGGAAGAGGATACAGTTCCAGCCATAAGATACAAAACCTGCTGGATAATCTGCATGGCTCACATGAAATACATCACACTGATACAGATGAAAACTACATTCTAAGATGAAGTAGCACTGCATTTCTCTTCTCCTTCATCTGATCATCAGATTAATGTGGCAAATAGAACAAGTCAAACAGAAACAGTACCCGATCAATCCACAAAAACACTAAGGCCACCAACTCAGTAGTATATTGACTTGCAGTGTTCTAATGCCATATTCAAAGGATTGCTGAAATGGTAGTCAGTTCAGGAAGTTCTTCTACTGCCCAATATGTACACACATGTAAAGGATGTCTGATACGGAATAACACCAACCTGTGTCTCTAGTCTGATAGTCTGCAAAAGTCTCAGGAGCAGATGTCTGATGACTGGACTTTTCACCTGAATTCTGCAATGATACAATATCTGAGCATAACAAGTTGTATGAAACGTTTAACAGACAAGTGACTGAGAATGAAGGGGTTGATAGAAGTAGCACAGATTGCATACCTTCAGAAGAGGCAGAAATGGAGTTTGGCTACTAATACCCCTTTGTGTCTTATTGCCATTGGATACTGTCAGCTCAGTGAAGAAAACATTCATGTAGTTCACAAGTTTTCAATATCCCAAATCAGCAACATCCCAAATCATCAAAAGGCACCAGTCCACTAACCAGCTAATAAATATTCATCAATTTCGCTCTGGAAACAGAAAACGGACAACAGGCTGATCATGTTGATCGCTACATACACGTGAAGTGTACACAATTCCATAGCTACTGAGGTGCACAATAAAACCCGTGAAGATCCGGGTTAGAATTGGTCTTCAGTAACCCATGCTTGTGGTAAGAGGCAACTAACAGGATCGGGTGGTCAGGCTCACCGACTTGGTTGACACATGTCATCGTATCCCATTTGCTTAGATCAATGCTCATGCTGTTGATCACTTGATTGTGTGGTCCAGACTCGATTACAGACCGCCACCATAGAGTTGGAATATTGCTGAGTGCAGCATAAAACTAAAGTCACTCACTCACAATAATGTTGTATCAGCAATACAGCAATTATCATCAGCTACAGGACAAACAGTCTAGTTTCCTGTTGCTGGGTTTAGGCTGTAATGAGTCCTACCTTCTTCCACTGCTGTGTTGCAGCGCGGACATCATCATCATCACTGGAGTCGGACAAGTCGGGCAGGATGCATCGCTCCTCTAGAGCCTGCAGCAGACTGAGACACTTACAAGCTGAGGCAGTCACATCGTCCTCAACAGCTCCTACTGCATCACAACCTGCAACATGGTGAACAGAACCTGTTTGTTCAGTTAGGTCATGTTACTACCATCATTTATCACCCACTACTGATTGCACTGTTGGTCATGCTTCAGAACTACACTGACAGTACCATGGACAACTAGTTTGTCTTGAAGTATATTACTGAAATCCTGTAGCTAGCAGAAGCCCCACTCCTCACATGTTCCGGGCACTCACCGTCTCTGCCAACCCTGTCTGACTTCTGGAGTCTGGTCAAGGAATCCTCACGCTGAACAAGCTGGTGTCTGGGGAATCAAGAGTACTGCTCTTACAACAAAATACAGACATTCACCACTGAAACAGTACATGTCACAACCAGTTCACTTTTGGATGGAGTCTTCCAGATGCATGTTTGTGCTTGTTTAAAAGCAAGGGCATATTTCATCAGATATACAAGGGTTGGCTGATAGGTTCCCACAGAACAGAATGTGGGTTAATATCAACTACAGATACTTGAACTGTTACCAAAAGCTTTCCCTCAGGTCACTGATATTGTACATGAAGCAGATCAACCACCAATGTCTCCCATATTCACTTCCTTACCTGACTCTCTCAGACACAGCACCGTTCTTGACAAGCTCCGTGAGGAGGACATCTCGCTCTGTCTGCAAGGCACTGACCTTATGCTGCAGCCCTTTCTGAAGATCTAGGACTTCCCGTAGGTGACCAGATACTGTGTTTATATCATTCTGGGAACATGTTTGCAATAAAAACAGATGAAATTGACATAAAATCTAATTCCATAAAGGAGATATAGAGTAACAATCTTCCATCAAATCATTTACAAGCATTTTAAAGCATCATTTACAAACGTTTATCCAATAAAACTGACACACACAATTATCCCCTGACATTTATCCATAAAGAGTAGTTCCAGAGGCAAAATCTTGTACAATATATTGTTATTATCCTTGTCTAACCACATACTTTTGAGTGAGTGAGTGAGTTTAGTTTTACGCTGCTTTTGAGCAATATTCCAGCAATATCACGGGGGGGATACCAGAAATGGGCTTCAGACATTGTACCGATGTGAGGAATCGAACCCGGGTTTTCAGCGTGACGAGCGAACACTATAACCACTAGGCTACCCCACCGTCCCACATACTTTAGAAAAGGTGTATGTTATGTACATGAGCATTTACCGTGTATACCTTTTAAACTGTATGCAAATTTCCTCCTCATTTAATCATCCTTACGCTTGGAATTTGGAAGAAATGACACTCAGTACCATTGTTGGATGGACTGGGACACACACACACACACACACACACACACACACACACACACAAAAATTCCATCTCACAATTATCACGCACCGAAAATACCTGAAAAATCACTCCATTTTATGTAGATGAATGTACTGTAAACAAAGGGAAACAGCAGGTGGCTCACCACTGTGACGTCACAACCTGAGCTCTGCCGATGCTGGGATTACGATATGCATCAATCGCACAGGTTGTGAAAATGGAGCAGTTGTTAGGTGCTTTTTAGATAACAATAAAATCATTTATGAATCTTAATTTAGTGTAAATAGGTATACTTTGTTTGTCCATAACATATGTTCAAAAGTTTATATTCAATATATCTCCTTTAAGTGTCTAGTTTCATACCTAAAGAAGTTTACATGTTCTTAAACAGGATTCCTGTGACATACAGTACAAAACACATCAGAATGTCTGTGTATAGGGAGGAGGGAAAGGATTCCTGTGACATACAGTACAAAACACATCACAATGTCTGTGTATAGGGAGGAGGGAAAGGATTCCTGTGACATACAGTAATGTCAAAACACATCACAATGTCTGTGTACAGGGAGGAGGGAAAGGATTCCTGTGACATACAGTAATGTCAAAACACATCACAATGTCTGTGTACAGGGAGGAGGGAAAGGATTCCTGTGACATACAGTAATGTCAAAACACATCACAATGTCTGTGTATAGGGAGGAGGGAAAGGATTCCTGTGACATACAGTACAAAACACATCACAATGTCTGTGTACAGGGAGGAGGGAAAGGATTCCTGTGACATACAGTAATGTCAAAACACATCACAATGTCTGTGTATAGGGAGGAGGGAAAGGATTCCTGTGACATACAGTAATGTCAAAACACATCACAATGTCTGTGTACAGGGAGGAGGGAAAGGATTCCTGTGACATACAGTAATGTCAAAACACATCACAATGTCTGTGTACAGGGAGAAGGGAAAGGATTCCTGTGACACACAGTAATGTCAAAACACATCACAATGTCTGTGTATAGGGATGAGGGAAAGGATTCCTGACATATAGTAATGTCAAAACACATCACAATGTCTGTGTACAGGGAGGAGGGAAAGGATTCCTGTGACATACAGTAATGCCAAAACACATCACAATGTCTATGTATAGGGAGGAGGGAAAGGATTCCTGTGACATACAGTACAAAACACATCACAATGTCTGTGTACAGGGAGGAGGGAAAGGATTCCTGTGACATATAGTAATGTCAAAACACATCACAATGTCTGTGTATAGGGAGGGAGGAAAGGATTCCTGTGACATACAGTAATGTAAAACACATCACAATGTCTGTGTACAGGGAGGAGGGAAAGGATTCCTGTGACATACAGTACAAAACACATCACAATGTCTGTGTACAGGGAGGAGGGAAAGGATTCCTGTGACATACAGTAATGTCAAAACACATCACAATGTCTGTGTACAGGGAGGAGGGAAAGGATTCCTGTGACATACAGTACAAAACACATCACAAATGTCTGTGTACAGGGGAGGAGGGAAAGGATTCCTGTGACATATAGTAATGTCAAAACACATCACAATGTCTGTGTACAGGGAGGAGGGAAAGGATTCCTGTGACATACAGTAATGTCAAAACACATCACAATGTCTGTGTACAGGGAGGAGGGAAAGGATTCCTGTGACATACAGTACAAAACACATCACAATGTCTGTGTATAGGGAGGAGGGAAAGGATTCCTGTGACATACAGTAATGTCAAAACACATCACAATGTCTATGTACAGGGAAGAGGGAAAGGATTCCTGTGACATACAGTACAAAACACATCACAATGTCTGTGTATAGGGAGGAGGGAAAGGATTCCTGTGACATACAGTAATGCCAAAACACATCACAATGTCTATGTATAGGGAGGAGGGAAAGGACTCCTGTGACATACAGTAACACAAAACACATCACAATGTCTGTGTACAGGGAGGAGGGAAAGGATTCCTGTGACATACAGTAATGTCAAAACACATCACAATGTCTGTGTATAGGGAGGAGGGAAAGGATTCCTGTGACATACAGTAATGTAAAAACACATCACAATGTCTGTGTACAGGGAGGAGGGAAAGGATTCCTGTGACATATAGTAATGTCAAAACACATCACAATGTCTGTGTATAGGGATGAGGGAAAGGATTCCTGTGACATATAGTAATGTCAAAACACATCACAATGTCTGTGTATAGGGAGGAGGGAAGGATTCCTGTGACATATAGTAATGTCAAAACACATCACAATGTCTGTGTATAGGGAGGAGGGAAAGGATTCCTGTGACATACAGTAATGTAAAAACACATCACAATGTCTGTGTACAGGGAGGAGGGAAAGGATTCCTGTGACATACAGTACAAAACACATCACAATGTCTGTGTACAGGGAGGAGGGAAAGGATTCCTGTGACATACAGTACAAAACACATCACAATGTCTGTGTACAGGGAGGAGGGAAAGGATTCCTGTGACATATAGTAATGTCAAAACACATCACAATGTCTGTGTATAGGGAGGAGGGAAAGGATTCCTGTGACATACAGTAATGCCAAAACACATCACAATGTCTATGTACAGGGAAGAGGGAAAGGATTCCTGTGACATACAGTACAAAACACATCACAATGTCTGTGTATAGGGAGGAGGGAAAGGATTCCTGTGACATACAGTAATGTCAAAACACATCACAATGTCTGTGTATAGGGAGGAGGGAAAGGATTCCTGTGACATACAGTACAAAACACATCACAATGTCTGTGTATAGGGAGGAGGGAAAGGATTCCGGTGACATACAGTAATGTCAAAACACATCACAATGTCTGTGTATAGGGAGGAGGGAAAGGATTCCTGTGACATACAGTAATGTCAAAACACATCACAATGTCTGTGTATAGGGAGGAGGGAAAGGATTCCTGTGACATACAGTAATGTCAAAACACATCACAATGTCTGTGTATAGGGAGGAGGGAAAGGATTCCTGTGACATATAGTAATGTAAAAACACATCACAATGTCTGTGTATAGGGAGGAGGGAAAGGATTCCTGTGACATACAGTAATGTCAAAACACATCACAATGTCTGTGTATAGGGAGGAGGGAAAGGATTCCTGTGACATACAGTAATGTCAAAACACATCACAATGTCTGTGTATAGGGATGAGGGAAAGGATTCCTGTGACATACAGTAATGTCAAAACACATCACAATGTCTGTGTACAGGGAGGAGGGAAAGGATTCCTGTGACATACAGTACAAAACACATCACAATGTCTGTGTATAGGGAGGAGGGAAAGGATTCCTGTGACATACAGTAATGTCAAAACACATCACAATGTCTGTGTATAGGGATGAGGGAAAGGATTCCTGTGACATACAGTAATGTCAAAACACATCACAATGTCTGTGTACAGGGAGGAGGGAAAGGATTCCTGTGACATACAGTAATGTCAAAACACATCACAATGTCTGTGTATAGGGAGGAGGGAAAGGATTCCTGTGACATACAGTAATGTCAAAACACATCACAATGTCTGTGTACAGGGAGGAGGGTAAGAAGAACAATCTCATTCTCAGAGCCTTAGTCAAAGTATGATTGGTTTCTATGTAGCCACAATAATATAGCACCAATACAACTTAACAAGTATTCACAATACAGTCAAAATCAACCTTCATTTTCACATTCAGTCAAATTTTATATTACCTATGTATACTATTTTCAGCTGAAGCATGTAATTGTGAGTCCGACATAAATACATAGCAATGTTAGTCTCTGTTGGAAAACGCTATAGTGTCTATGAGGTGTGACAAGAAGTAGGTACGGGGCAGCCTTTACTCATCACACTGAAGAATCTATCTGGGGGGTTTCACAGGCCTAATTTCACCTCCTTCTTTACAGCATTTGTCCATCAAAATTCCCAAACTTGATTACAGAACAAAAAGTTTTCCCAACAAGGGCACTAGTTTCGAAATCCGAGATAAAATGCTGCTGTTCCAGGCCCACCTTTAGTGTGCTGATCATATCGGTGAAGTTCTGCTGATGACGTTCTCGGTCCTCCCGAATCTCTCGACGGATGTCTGCTATCAGGTCCGACTTGTGCTTACTTTGCTGCTCCTAGTAAAGAGGAATAATAGCAATAGGCATGGTCATTACTTAAAGCACCATGTTCCTTGTACAGAGGCATGTAAACTACGAGAACAGGGATTACTGATAACTACGGGTTCCTTGTACAGAGGCATGTTAACCACAAGAACAGCAACTAAAGAGTATACCCTGTACATTTGTGCATCATCAGTCAGAGAATCCTTGGTAAAAGCACAGTTCCATAGACTTGCAAACCATGTATCACCATTACAGATGTAACAACCCTGTGGGAGGGCCCGAAGAAGCCTTTCCAAAGTTTGCCTATGTTTAAATGTTTGCAAAAGAAGGGCTAACAGAAGAACAGGTGCCCTAAATGATGAGATGATTACTGAGTACAGAACAGTGTTTTCTACTTGCCCTAAATGATGAGATGACTCTGTCGACGCTGTCTCTGTGATCCTGCATACGGCGCTGAAGGTGATTGTCTCCTTCCTGGATCTTGGTCAACTCCTCCATGGCGATCACAAAACCTTGCTTCATCTCGTGAACCATCTCCTCGATCTGAAACATAGAAGAATAGGAGTAATAGGAGGAATCATTACAGGGCCGACAACACTGGTGGGATATATGGAATTATTATACTACCTGTATGACCGCCTATAAGCCGAATTTTGAGGACCAAAAAGCAGTCTGTAGAAGGGGGTCGTCTTATCCATGGGTTACTGCTTTTGTCAAACTTTTTTCCAGGGGTAAAAACAACATCGTATCATCCTTAGTGAACAAACAACAGAAGAGCGACTTTGTCAGTAGAGACGCCAAATAAATTTGCAATTAAACATCACTAGACAAGATTATTTACCTTTTAAGTTATAAGTTGTTTTGCTGGGCATTGTATTATTTGCAGGGATTAAGATTACGTCGTGATTTGTCTCGCATTACACAAAGCCGAAATAGCAATCAGCTGTGCACACGCTTCCCCGGAGAACAAGTTCAAACATGCACAATAATATAACGGGACGAATTCTGACGCAGTCATCAGTAAAATATAATACAGAATACCGTTATTTAACCCAAAGAAATATATCCTAGCATTGTGTAATTTTAGTTATAGTTTTTGCTCTATAAATTAATTAAGATTACCGTGTGTATTTGAGCCGGAAAAAGCAATAAGCTGTGCACACGCGTTTCCCGCGTAACAAGTTCAAACATGCACAATAATATAACGGGATGAATTCTGGCGCTTGAGTCGTCAGTAAAATATAATACAGAATACTATGATTTAACCCAAAGAAATATATCCTAGCATTGTGTAAGTTTATTTACAGTTTTATGTAAAATATATATAATCAACACTAAGGTTATACCGACCCTCATGAACGTGGTAAGCACATGGAATGGGGTAAAATCACGGAAGCCATTTAAATTCACACATTTTACCGATGTTACTGAAAACTCGCAGTCAATGGAAAACGAGGCGGTAATCAGTTCGTGATTGTTGAATGGGGTAAAATAAGCAAGCCAGTTTGTTGCTACAATAAATATGATATTTAGAGAGTGAGTAGACACAATATATATGACAGTGAATTCTAAGTCTTTGAATAATGTGGACCAAAGTTATAATTATTGGTAACTGCCAGTTGTCTGTGGTCTGTGTTTGCCGCGATTAGGACCCCATCGCGGGGGATCGACTTATGCACGAAACATACCATTTTGACACTGATTTTAAGGGTCAAGTTTGGGGGTCGTCTTATCCATGGGGTCGTCTTGGTCATATACGGTACATCTGATATTAAAGGTGTTTCACAGTAGGGAGCAAAAATACTGGAAGGATAAATGACATTAAAACACCACATCTCATACTGAAGGTGTATCATAGCAGGGAACAGAAACGTCTAATCCAACGGACAAACAGATGAACCCCATTCCAACATCCAAATCTAAATGATAATGAAATGGTGGCCTGATGTTGCAAAGGATAAGCAAGGGGAGACAACTCCACCATCCTTGTTGCAAAACGTCCGCACCAGTGACCATAAGCCTTATAAACACTTGCCCCACAAACATCAGCCACTGTTACTGAACAATGATCATAGTGAAGAAACAGTCTTGTCAATTTGTCACGTCAAACTCTAAAACTGATTTTTCTTGTCAGGATAGAAGACACAAAAAGCATACATCAAAGTTTCTTCATATACACAAATACTCAGGTGAATTAAATCACAAGAACTGGGTGTCAAAATAAGGTAAATCAACCTTAAAGAAAGCTGTTCCCATTATTGAGTCAGTGGTACTCATGACATAATATGCCATACATTATGTCTCTTCTCTAACTTATATTCTTAAATTCTCTTACTCAAAGTTACACTAATATTGCCACAATATAATTCATGTATTTCAACATGCATCAATCTTTAGATATAAGTTGAAATAAAAGTTTGAAATAAAAGCATATCTAACAGCAACGTATGTCATTACCTACATTTACAGCCAGTAAGTTGGCCCCGGCCTTTAAAAAATGTGGGCCACTAAAACAAATCTGTAATCCTTTTCTTTGACATTTTGACATCCCAAATGACTTTCAATGATAAACTCTCTACATCAAGTCAAGCTCTGTACAGTGAAACGAGCTCCTTACAGCTATTCATATTCCAGTTTCGCTTGCAAATAGACGTACTAGCAATGTGCAAACGTTAGGAAGTCTCATTTTGAATTCAGGAAGTTTCAATATTTTGATTTTGATTTCCGAATGTTTGACATTGCTTTCAATAAAAATAGTTGTAATTGGAAATTTATTACGTGCCCGATATATAAGAACGTGTTATAAATCATAAATATATAAATATATCACCAAGGTAAGTACAAGTAGTAGGGCTGGGACAATGCACCGATGCACCCGATACATCATGATACATTTTAAGTTTGATACAGCTATTGTATCATCTACTGGTGTATCGATACCAAACGATACATGACTTTATTTCAAAACAGTATTACCTTAAACATGTTAAAGTACTTATTTAGAGAAACATACGCAAGTATGATAGAGTTAGGGTACTTGTTTGTTTATTACAATAGTGTTATTGCTATACAAAAGTACCTTGATATAAATCATTTTAAATCTTAATACTGTGTCATTCTTTCAAGGTGTATCGTGATATGTATCGTATCGCAGGTAAAATATCACGATACGTATCGTATCATGACATAGTGTATCGTCCCAGCCCTAACAATTCGCAGGAATCCCACAATTACATTGTCTGACTCATGCACTGGAGAAGCATTGAAGGCATCTCAGTCAATATTTCTAAGAAAAATGAGAAATAGCACATGGATACCTCCAGTGGAAACCCATGCACTGACCTACAGTGGTGACCCATGGACTGACCTACAGTGGTAACCCATGGACTGACCTACAGTGGTAACCCATGGACTGACCTACAGTGGTAACCCATGGACTGACCTACAGTGGTGACCCAAGGACTGACCTACAGTGGTGACCCATGGACTGTACTACAGTGGTAACCCATGGACTGTACTACAGTGGTAACCCATGGACTGACCTACAGTGGTAACCCATGGACTGACCTACAGTGGTGACCCATGGACTGACCTACAGTGGTAACCCATGGACTGACCTACAGTGGTAACCCATGGACTGTACTAGAGTGGTAACCCATGGACTGACCTACAGTGGTAACCCATGGACTGTACTACAGTGGTAACCCATGGACTGACCTACAGTGGTAACCCATGGACTGACCTACAGTGGTGACCCATGGACTGACCTACAGTGGTGACCCAAGGACTCACCTACAGTGGTAACCCATGGACTGACCTACAGTGGTAACCCATGGACTGACCTACAGTGGTGACCCATGGACTGACCTACAGTGGTGACCCAAGGACTGACCTACAGTGGTGACCCATGGACTGACCTACAGTGGTGACCCATGGACTGACCTACAGTGGTAACCCATGGACTGACCTACAGTGGTAACCCATGGACTGACCTACAGTGGTAACCCATGGACTGTACTAGAGTGGTAACCCATGGACTGACCTACAGTGGTAACCCATGGATTGACCTACAGTGGTAACCGTGGACTGACCTACAGTGGTAATCCATACTGACCTACAGTGGACTGTATGGACTGATTAGAGTGGTAACCCATGGACTGACCTACAGTGGTGACCCATGGACTGACTACTACAGTGGTGACCCAGGGACTGACCTACAGTAGTAACCCATGGACTGACCTACAGTGGTAACACATGGACTGTACTACAGTGGTAACCCATGGACTGACCTCCAGTGGTAACCCATGGACTGACCTCCAGTGGTAACCCATGGACTGTACTACAGTGGTAACCCATGGACTGACCTACAGTGGTAACCCATGGACTGACCTACAGTGGTAACCCATGGACTGACCTACAGTGGTGACCCATGGACTGACCTACAGTGGTAACCCATGGACTGACCTACAGTGGTAACCCATGGACTGACCTACAGTGGTAACCCATGGACTGTACTAGAGTGGTAACCCATGGACTGACCTACAGTGGTAACCCATGGACTGACCTACAGTGGTGACCCATGGACTGACCTACAGTGGTAACCCATGGACTGTACTACTACAGTGGTAACCCATGGACTACAGTGGTAACCCATGGACTGTACTACAGTGGTAACCCATGGACCATGGACTGTACTACAGTGGTAACCCATGGACTGACCTACAGTGGTAACCCATGGACTGACCTACAGTGGTAACCCATGGACTGTACTACAGTGGTAACCCATGGACTGTACTACAGTGGTAACCCATGGACTGTACTACAGTGGTAACCCATGGACTGTACTACAGTGGTAACCCATGGACTGACCTACAGTGGTAACCCATGGACTGACCTACAGTGGTAACCCCATGGACTGTAACCCTACAGTGGTAACCCATGGACTGACCTACAGTGGTAACCCATGGACTGACCTACAGTGGTAACACATGGACTGACCTACAGTGGTAACCCATGGACTGTACTACAGTGGTAACCCATGGACTGTACTACAGTGGTAACCCATGGACTGACCTACAGTGGTAACCCATGGACTGTACTACAGTGGTAACCCATGGACTGTACTACAGTGGTAACCCATGGACTGACCTACAGTGGTAACCCATGGACTGACCTACAGTGGTAACCCATGGACTGACCTACAGTGGTAACCCATGGACTGTACTACAGTGGTAACCCATGGACTGTACTACAGTGGTAACCCATGGACTGACTGACCTACAGTGGTAACCCATGGACTGACCTACAGTGGTAACCCATGGACTGACCTACAGTGGTAACCCATGGACTGTACTACAGTGGTAACCCATGGACTGACCTACAGTGGTAACCCATGGACTGACCTAACCCATGGTGACCCCATGGACTGACCTACAGTGGTGACCCATGGACTGGTAACCCTACAGTGGTAACCCATGGACTGACCTACAGTGGTGACCCATGGACTGTACCTACAGTGGTAACCCATGGACTGACCTACAGTG